TGCATTCCATAAAAGTCCACCTAACCAAACGGTTGTAGTGGATCAAATGTTAACCGGACCCCGTCCGGGAGAAAAGAGAAATTGTTAATTAACCCGACTTCATAGCCGGTAAATACAAAGATACTCGGCACGCAGGCCGGAAAAGTGAGTTTTGGCATACTACCGCAGAAAAGAAAAAATAAAAACAGAGATTGGCATACTGCCGCTGAAAGATCACTTCTGGCCTGCAGGCGGTGCCTCCTGGTCCTCTTCCTCATCATCTGAGGGAATATTTTGTGCTGCATCTGGACCAGGTAGCTTAGGCGCGAGGGGCTCATTGTTGGAGTTAACCCAGGCATCAAAGGACTCAGGCTCTGGCTCACCTCTATCTCTCAAGTACACCACGTACTCGGCATAACTGTGAGCCAATGCCCAGATGTTGTAATCCGTGTCTGGGTACAAGGCAGCCCAGGCGATCTTCATGCGGGCGTCATTGTCCGCATCACTCTCAGCAACCAGGCGGTTTTGCTCCGCCTCCAGGGTTGCTGCAAAGTTTATCTGAGCATGAGCAGCCTCCTTCTCCAGCCTCTCAACCTTGGTCTTCAGGTTGGTGTTCTCTTCAGAAACACCTTGAAGTGTGCCAAGGTCCGTCTGGGCCTTCTTGAGCGCCTCGTCAGCCTTCTTGGCGCTCTTATCTGCCTTTTTCGGGGCCTCCTCCGCCTTCTTCTAGACCGTCTCAGCGTCGCTCACACGCTGGTTGGCCGTCTTCAGATCCGCCTCCAGCTGCTGGATTCTAGACGCTTGTGTCATTATGATTGCTTTAGTTTCAAGTTCATTTACGATAGTTGAGTATAAAGCAACATTATCAGCGTCTGTGGCGGACTTCTTGGCCCCTTTTTACCTCTTCCCGTTTGCGGGAATAAGGACGCTTGAGCCCGTCTACCCGCAGCATAGCCTGCAAAAAAGCAAGCGGTATTAGTATGGCAGGCGAGGTAAAGCACTGGGAAAAAATTAAATTGTCAAGTCTCTTACCTCAGCCAGAAGGGATAGAATGCATTCAAGATTGAACGTCTCTATCCCCGGGATGTTGCCTTTATCCCTCTTGCGGACGACGCCAAGCATGGCCTTGGCATGCTTCTGGACGTCTGGCCAGCGGGGAGATTGATCTACACCATAATCAATACGAGATGAGTGCGAAACTAAGGCATCACCTATCTGTTGCCGACCGTCTGAGGATGACGTCTGTTGGGAGTGGGATTTCACCCGCAAAGGCCACCCCAGCTCAAGCGGGGATTCAAAAGGGTTCTTACCTTCAGAGTCGGCCAAGAGGGAACTGCTTGCAGGCGTGGTGAACCCCCCGGTTGCTGATACGGGGTTGACGAGGTCGAGGCCCATATAGGCGGCAGGTCCCTAGCTGCCAAGGCTAGGCGGCTCTATTTCTGGCCTACTCTGGAGTCGGATGCCATGGAAATGGTAAAAAAATGTGACAAGTGCCAAAAGTTTGGCAAGCTCATCCATCGTCCGGCCACAAACCTGACGACCATCCACAGCCCAATACCCTTTGCCAAATGGGGCATGGACATACTTGGGCCTTACACAATTGCTCTAGGCGGCAAGCGCTACATATTGTTAGCTGTGGATTACTTTACCAAGTGGGTAGAGGCGGAGGCGGTCAAAAACATCAAGACAAAATATGTCATTTCCTTCATCTGGAGGAATATTATCAATTGTTTTGGGGTGCCCATGTCTATGGTTTTTGACAATGGTCCTCAATTTGAGACGCCTCAACTCAAGACTTGGCTGGGAGACCAAGGGGTCTCAAGATTCTTTGCATCGGTCGGCCGGTCTCAAGCAAACGGCCAGGTCGAAGCCTTCAATAAGCTAATCTCAGACGGGATTAAAAAGAAAATTGAATGGGCTGGTGGCCTTTGGGCGGATGAATTACCACACTTCCTCCGGTCCATCAGAACGACTGCTAAAGGGGCGACTGAAGAAACCCCATTCCTCATGGTGTATGGTGCAGAAGTTGTCCTGCCCATTGAACACTATGAGCCGACTCTTCGAGTCATGTTATATGACGAAGGAGTAAACTGGGAGGCCATGCGGCTGGCATTAGACTCACTTTCAGAACTCAGGGGGAATGCTGCCTTGCGCCATGAGATTTATCGTCTGAGAATGACACGGGGTTACAACAAAAGAGTACACAAGCGTCCTCTCAAAGTGGGGGACTTTGTGCTACGGAAAATGGAGGCAGTCGGTAGGGCGAATGAGCAGGGAAAGCTAACCCCAAATTGGGAAGGCCCCTACTGAATCGAGTCTCATCCACTCATTCTAAATCATTGCCAAAATAAATTTTAGGAATTAGAATAGAAATCCTCCCCACTGGAGTCGCCAAAAACTGTAGGGAATATTTCAAGCATTATCCCAAGCTTGAACCCCACTGTGATCATACACTTAAGTATGGTGGCGTCCAAAGGGAAGGAAGCTAGAGCAAAAGAGTCGCCAACAGTTTTAGAAACTTGTAAACCGTTCATAGGGTGAAGGTTACACCCCTTCACGATCCATGAGATCGTCAACTCCAATAGGTCTGGAACCATGACTGTTGTTCGGGGATAAGGGTACAAATCCAATCTTAAAGAGAAAGAACTCACCCTATAAAATAGGCCTCTACTTTATTCTTCTCATATTCATGTGCGCTTTCTGACTAACATGCAATCAATGGATTTACCCTAAACCTGTTTAATCTATGCTGGTTGAAAATTAATGCACAAATAAAACTATTATTGGCGATCACTTGAATTATAATCATATTAGCCCTAAACAAGATTATTAATTATCTTATTAAGCGTGATTACAAGTACAAATTCCCTTTAAACATGCACAAAAGGTGTGATCAAGAAATAATAATAATAATATCAAGCAACATAATAATATTAATAATAACCATAATAAAAATAATCATTTGAAATATAAAAGCATAATATCAATAGTAAGATCCTAAGCATGATACTAACAAGATTTATAACAAACCCTAGCATGTCACTAAACATTGAAGAACAAAGATTTAACCCTATCATGATACTAACATGATATAAGAAAAGAAATAGGAAGCATCATAGAAATCATAATTGATATAAGAAACTTAATTATTACCCTAAACATGATACTAGGAAGCAATAAAACATCCTAACATGATACTATGATCAAAATAATAACCTAAACATGATTTCTATATCAAAAGATCAATTAAAACAATTAAATTACTTACTTCGATGCCTCTTATCTCTTTCTAATAACAAAAACATACGTTAGTAACTTCAAGGAAAAGAATAAACAAAACAACTAAATTAAATAATTAAAATAGAGATTTGGGACCAAACCCTCAAAAATATCAAACCTTTCACGTCTAGGGCGAAGACAACTTCGAACTTGGAAGCTGTGTCTAGTGCTAATATATGAGGAATTATATTTGTAAAAAGGCTAGGCTAGAAAGAGGGAGAGAGAATAAGCGTAGCTTAGAGAGAGAAAAGAATTAGAGAATTCTGGTTATTGAAAAACGGAGGTCCAAGGACCTTATTTATTAGAAAATAGTCCGGAATTGATAGAAAAGAATCAGAGTTCGAAAAGGAATAAAACACCCTCCTGTCGGCTGCCGCCAACGACAGAGCTCGTCGCCAGGCGACGGACCTGTCGTCAGGCAGTGCAAGATATTTCAACGCTTTTTCAACGCGGAATCCACTTCTCGATAAAATTGAGTCTTAAATTTGTGTTAGGGGTAAAATCGTATTTTCATATAAAACACTTATTTTATTCCAAGTAAAACTCATATATCTAATTATCAATCCTAATTCCTTTAGGATTTAAGAGAACCTTCTAGAAGACTATAATCAATCCTAATAGCTTTAGGAATGATAATCAATAATAGGCCCTCCTCTAGATCATTGGGCCGTATATAAGAACCAAACCGGTCCCAATTCAGTATTTTGGCCATAATTTCCTCATTATTCATCGGAATTGAGCTTATAATATATCGTTGGAAATCTCTTTTCGAGCCCCATCCAACTACACCATTATGGGATCCTTGTTATGGACCAAACTAAACTGGACTGACTATTTTTATAAAGTAGAGCAGGTTTTCGAAAACAGAAAGAAGGGTTTTTAATAAAAATTAACCACAACATTAAACTTTTCACACTTCACTTCATTCGATTATGATTCGATGCGAAATGTATTCATCACTGGGTTTGATTTTGAGGAGATACAAATGGTGTCTACAAGTAGTTGTCCAAAAATGGCCTTATCCGTAGGGTAATTCTACATAAAATTTCCTATTTAATTCATTTGCTTAACTAGTGGACCCAATATATCATATTTTATTAATTTCATACTAGTATTTAATTCATTTGCTTAACTATTTAATTCATTTGTTTTTACCATTTTTTATTCTTTCACCTACCGAACTAACTCCATATTTAATTAGTTTCTCCAATTTCTCTTTGGGACTATTTTCTCGTTCTTAATCTACTTGATCGGGGCTTTGCTTTGCTCCAACACTTAAGCTTTCACCCAAGGTATTTGGCTACTCAGCTTGAAGCAGGAACAGAGAGAAGGCTCCAATCCAGCGTGCCCTGTTTGGTGGTAGCGTTAGAGGTACCGGCTAGTGTTTTGACCAGTCAAAACACTACTAGAAAAAAAAAATGTTTGGCAAAGTAGCGATTCCGGTAGCGGTTAGCGATAGAGGTAGCGTTTAAGTAGCTTTTCTCAAATGTTAAAAATAGTAGCGTTTAGAAGTAGCAGGTAGCGTTTGACAAATTTTTATTACTTTTTAAACAATATTTATATGAATTTTAATATATTTTAATATTGCAACGACTATTTTTGCCAAACACTCATACTATCACCCGTTACCGACTACTAATTGACTGCTACTCGCTAATTGCTAACTTAACAATACCCACTGCTCCACCATTAGAAGCTACCCGCTGCCACTATTTTGCCAAATTGGACCTTGGTATATGTTATAATTTGTTGTCAACCAAAATTATAGAAAAACTAGAGTTGGGCGTAGAATATTTCCCATTGCATTCATAGTCCGCCATCTCAATCCCCAGTTTCCCATTTCTGAAGAGACCTTCAACGCCCTAATGGGTTGCGCATCCTCTGCACCTGGTATATCATCTTCTTATACTCTACTTTTCTTCACACTCTGATTAATTCTTGATCTAATTTATTCATATCAAAACCCTTAATTTGGTTAATGTCATGGCAGATAGAACTATTAGAGGTCCAAATGGTCTTAATCCTGGCACTGAGGGTCTTCCCGATGCCAAAAATTTGAAAGTTAAGGTAGTTTTTCTTGCTGATGTGAATTTGGTGCCATTGAATTTTGATTTTTCTTTGATTAAGTAGCAATTTTTTGTTTTGGGTATTGTTAATTTTAGCTGAATTTGGTGTAATTGAGGTATTTTCTGATGCTAATGGTGGTTTTAAGCTCGTGCTTCTCGGGGATTCTGGTGTTGGAAAAAGCTGTATTGTTCTTCGTTTCGTACGTGGTCAGTTTGATCCTACATCTAAGGTTGAACGAATTGATTTCTGTTTAAATTACTTTATCTTGATTTGAAAGAGATTGTGCTGAATTGTGTTCTAAATCTTTGTTTGATGTTAAGGTGACTGTTGGAGCATCTTTTCTCTCGCAAACAATAGCATTGCAGGACTCAACTACTGTTAAATTTGAAATCTGGGATACTGCTGGGCAAGAAAGGTATGCTGAATTTCGCAGAATGTTATATGTTATTTAATCTTGTACTATTATATGAATTTTTTTTTTTTTTTATTATTTTTTTTTTGATGATAGGTATGCTGCGCTTGCTCCACTTTATTATCGAGGAGCTGCAGTTGCAGTTGTTGTATATGATCTAACAAGTCCTGAGTCATTTACTAAAGCTCAATATTGGGTAAAGGTACAATGTCTTGACTTACTCTTTTTTTTCTTAAGTTACTTCTACTCAATCAATGAACATGTTTAGTTTCATTTATTATAACTTGTTATTTTGTAAGTTACTTCTATTCTATCAATGCACATGTTTAGTTTCACTTATTGTAACTTGTTAGAGGAAAGAAGTCATTTTTTGCCCTTAATTCTATTTTTATAATTATGTTTTCTTGAGAAACAATGGATTCATTAAATGGTATATTGGTATCCAAATTGGCTGTTATGTAGTATGTTTGGAAACATTTCCTTAGGTTGACTTAGTGTATAGCCACAATAGAAGGGCTATTGGAACTTGGAACAAATGTGGGGCAATTCAAACACAAAGTTTTATAGTGTCTTCAATTACTGCATTGGGATAGACAATAAAGTTGTGCATCTGTTGCTCATTGAGATAGAAAGATGACATCAGAATGCTATAAGAATTAGTATAATAGTCAAGATGACATTGTAGTTTTTGATGCAAAAGTTTTACGGAAAATTTAGCAAGAAATCAAAGGTGGGGGAAAGTATGCCCTACCTTCTTTATGGCCTTTGGAGTAATTTAGCTCTATCACATCTTGGCATATTTTGAGTTTTTCCTAATATGTAGCTTTAGATGCTTGTTATTTTTCAACTCAGGCCTCAAAAAGCACATGCAAATGCTTAGTCTAGTTCTTTAGTATTGGGCCTCAGTAGTCAATTGAGACCATAAGGATCTAAGACTGCGAAGATGAATGATTTGTTTCGTAGTTCATCAAAATATATAAGAGGCCATAATAGGAAACTCAGCAAAGCTATGCTCTTAAGTATAAACTTATCCTCAGAGGTATTGCCTTGGTCATTTGAGGTTCATTTAATTGCTTTAGCCCGTCTCCATGAGGTGCATGGTGCATCCGCACCTGCTAGGCTGCTGCGTATACACTGATTCATCTTTTATAAATTGCGAAAAAATAAATAAAAACATATTCTTTTTAACTTATGTGATTTTGTAAGGGCTCTATTGAGTTTCAATGTTCTCATTCTATTGATCGGCTGACCTAATTTGTGTTTCCCAATAATAAAAGCAGTCTATTACTCCCTTTGTCCCTAATTGTTTGCTCCACTTTCCTTTTTAAGGTGTCCCTAAAAGTTTGCCCCATACTACTTTTGGCATGTTTTCCGACTTCCACTCACTCTATCTCTCTCCTCATTGTTATTTGTGTCAACCCATGTGCACCAATTTTTGCCCAAAGCCTTAATAAAGTAGATTTATAGTTTGGGGCAAACAATTGGGGACAGAGGGAGTATGAGGTGATCTTTTATCTCTTTCAATCCCAATTCAAAGAAAGCAAACTTGTATAAATTTTTTGCAATATAAACAATCTCAGTATTTGAAAACACGAAATATATCATTTGGAAGTTGCAGCTAATATGCTTTGTATAGGCTTAAACATTTTTGGCAATTTTAATAAGAACAAAAATTATGCACTATTTAATCTATCTACTACCCATGCTCACTTACCTTTATACTATTAAGATTATAAAAATAAACAAAACTATGTGAGCAAATGAACATTGTTATGAAAATGCGATGGTAATATAAAATAACGTGTGCTGATTCAATAAGTGAATCAATGTTTGAAAAGGTGCGCCTAAGGCGTGCGCTAGGCACTGAGGCGTAAGGTGCTAAGGGTCATGCGCCTTTTGTGGTATAGGCGAGGTGATTTCGATGAAGCGCAGCTTAAGGCAAATTGAGATGCATTCCTAAGGCGCACAAGGTTTTTTTTTATTAGAATTTTTTTGTATTGTTTATTATATGCGCCTCACTTCAATGAGGTGCGAGGCGCACCTTAGGCGCAAAGAACTCTAAAAAGCCTTGGTGCGCCTTTGAGCCTTTTTGCATCCTTGTCAAACTACTTGCTGGCTCCATGTTGCTACTTGATTCATTTTGTTACATAGTACATACTTGAATCTTGTTTGAATGAAGCTTGCCAAAACCTAGCTAGCTAACAAGTTGATCAATCCTTGCCACATATTAAATTAATACACAATCATATTTAAGTTGTTAAGACATAATATATGTGTAGAACTCATTTTTTCGAACGAACTAGTATTTCTCTCACCCTTTATCAACCAATCCATTATTGCAAATTTAGCCAAAATATATATATATTTTTAATATAAGTTAGAATTTAGGGGATTTAGAATAAGTTGGAACAAGATTTTTTTACATGAAATGTAGTTTTATCACAACGAGAGTCAGTTGGGGATTTAGTGACATTTGATGGTAAAGAAAGTCTATGAGTGATTGAATACTTGTATACGAATTTGCAAAAGAATGGAATCATTAACCAAGATGTACCCACATGATTAAGCCTGGTTGGCTCAAATGGAGAATTGTGTGTTCTTTGCATACGTATGAAGTTTAAGGGAAAGTTTTATCGCGTGGCTATGAGACTAGCATTGTTATATGGGTCAAGCATACATGAAGGATCATATTAGGAAGATGGGAGTAGCGAAGATGCGTATGTTGAGATTGATGTGTGGGAACACTTTGAAGAATATAACTAGAAAATGAAGATATGAAGTGGAAAGTTAGCATTGTAGACATTGAGGATAAAATGTGGTGAAGCGTTGGTTTAGGCATGTCAAGCGGATAAGAAGATGCACCAGATTGGAAAGTAGAGGGTTGGGATCAAGGGGATTTTTGAAGAGGTAGGGAATGATCAAAGATGACTTGGAAGGAAGGAGTTACAAAAGGACATGAAGTTGGGTTTGCCAGACAATATAACGTTTGATACAAGGGAGTGGAAGGGGAGAGGATCATATTAGCAAGTACCGGAGATATTTGAGTAGCTGACCCCATTCTTGTTTATATTTTATCATAAGACAAAAGTTAGTTTTCTTTGCTTGATGAGACGTTTTAGATGCTCTCCCATATCAAATTGTTCTGGTTAAAATCAATTGGTTTTCAACATTTCCATCTTCTAGCTATTTTAATTGATTTTATACGGGATATTAGCTCTGAAGTTTAAAATTTTACTTTACTCAAATCTTTTTCTGTTGACTGCATATGCCCGGAGTTAGATTTTTTTTTTTTTTTTTTTTTAAGCAAACCAATGTTCTTTTCACAATGGGCCAGGTTTGGGACTCAGAAGTCAAAGGATTTTATATCCTAAAACTTGGATTAAGACTACAAATTTGTTGATCAGTATATAGAACAATCGGGGAATGTTTTGCATAAATGAAACATTCATGAGAGAGAGACATATATTGGTAAAAGTCAATAAACCTAAAAACATGGCATCTAGATAGTTATAAGATATATTTTTACATATGTTTGTTTCCATATCATGCAATTAAGACCATTAAGTGCCTAAAATCATTCCTGCATACTTGCATAGATATGTCAACCATGAGCTCACTATACAAATCAGGTTTGGAGAACGTGGTTGCTCAGTTGCTCCTTACAACTCATCAAGCTAATTATCAACCTCGAGAGAAAATAACTATACTTAATGTTGATGACTTGCTATTGGCACACACCCTCATGGAGTTGTTTGAGCTTAACTTTAGATGTTCTAGATTGGAATTAGGAGTATGTTGAGGCTGTTGAGGCCTCATTTAAGTATCTCACCAACTGATTGCATACACTTGTACTTATTTGGGTTGTGTTCTATGGAACTCCTTTTGCATAAGTTTTAGAATAATTTCTCATATTGAGTTTTTAACTATAAGAGCATAGGTTTTACCTGCTATGGCATGCTTAACTTGAGTCTCGCTTGCCTGCCCTTTTCAGTTTTGTTGATTACTATTACTTAGCCTGAGGGAGCCAAGTGTGGGTGAATATTTTGCTTTCTTTGTGAGAGATTTTTGTATATGTTATCTTCACATGCCTATCATTTATTAAGGCTGCTCTAAGAAATGATTATTCATCCATGGATGCCATGGATAGTTTGCAGGACCTTGGGAGATCATGATGTATGTAGGTGTGTATCTAACAACTTAAGTTGAATGGATTGGTGTTATCAGAATGAATTGAATGGAGTGGTGTTGTCAGAATACACCGGCATTCCTGAATCTATCATTTTCAATGCTGATTGGGGAGAGTATAGAACATGGAGCAAAGTTTGCTTCTATTATTATCCTGTTCTTAGACATCAAGGTCTTGTGTGATCTTGTTATGACTTATATGTTATTGACAATAGTTTCTGCCATTCTGGATGCAAAACATTGATGGCCTTGTTGAATCATCATCTAAAATTGATATTTGCATTTACATGAATGATTCTGCAGGAATTGCAAAAACATGGGAGTCCTGATATAGTCATGGCTTTGGTTGGAAACAAAGCTGATCTTCTAGATCGTAGAGAAATTCCTGCTGAGGTGAGTTACTGTGATAGGTTTTGTATGTGTTGCATACAAGTATCCTTACATTAAGCTTGTGTTTTTTTTCCTCTTTTTTTGATTGGTATTCCATATTGGTATATGAAGGAGGGAATTGAATACGCTGAGAAGAATGGGATGTTCTATATTGAGACCTCGGCAAAGACAGCTGATAACATAAATCAACTCTTTGAGGTACATATTGCAACATAAATCTTTAAGCTGCCTTTTTCTCGTAGTATGTTGTGGACTCCCAAGTGTTGATTTTCTGTCAAAGTTGCCTGAAAATCAGTTGAACTGTCAAAAAAATTACTTGTTATTTAATTATTAAAATGCGTTCATAAATTTACCCTTTTTATATAACATATACTAATGTTTAAAGATGAAAACTTTAAGTCATTGTTGAAGACCATTAACATATCAAAACTTAGATTTAAGGCTATTAAACATTAACATATTAATTCTTAAATCTGAATCTGATAGCTAGTTAAGGCTGTTTACTTTGGAACAATAATTTCTAATGCTACTAGATTTAAACAAGTTCAAGAAGCTTAAATTAGGAAAAATAAGTTAACATATTAATTTTTATTTTTGTCGCATCTAGAAAACTAATAGCAATTACAGATCAAATACATCTACATCTTTACTAGTTTAATGTGTGACTTGAATTGACATATGCGGTTCTGCTGTAGGAAATTGCTAAGCGACTTCCTCGGCCTGAATCATCATCATCATAGTTGGACCAGGGAAGAACATTCTAACAAATGGCAAAATTTCAAGAATGCCACCGTTGTATAAATTTCCAATATATTTATATGGTATGTTTAAGGTGATTGTATTGTCATTAGCAAATTGGATTTTAAGTTGATGTACAGCCAGTCACAAGAGTGGGATGACTTAATGTAATGCATAACCTTGTTAATTTCTTTTATCATCTGATATTCATGGTAATTATTTGTCAATAATACTGTGGACTTCTGGATATCTGTTGAATAAACCCCTCTCTCGGCTAGTTCCTTGTGTTATGATAATCAATATGTCCTGTAATGCATATTTCTCCGTATTAATGATGGTTTCATCAGAATGCTCTTCATAATTTTGCAGTTTGACTCTTCTTTTCGCAATGCTGAATGGTAAGGCTTTAAGAAAATAAGACTGAGATACATTTGCAAAATATAGCATGCCTTTTCACTTTTTGATTGTGTTCACACACCAAATTCCCTACCTACCTTTGTTCACATGTGATATCAACTATTGTTACGACACCTTTTTTTTTTCTTCACATTGGCACTTTTGACATACTCCATCTTATTATTCTCTTAAATGGTGCAATATAAGATCGGATGTGCAAATCGCAAATGTTGTGTAAACTTGGGAGATTCACTTCTTAGTCAATAGCTTGTCCATAGTGCAACGTTTGTAGTGGTGATTAGGAGTGTTAATTCAGGTGACTGTATGGAGTCTTGTTGACCCACGATGAGTCAAGCTTGTTCTCTTTCATGAGCCCATTTTTTGGGCTGAAATGATATTAAATTCAAAAATTGAATGAATTTTTAAGTAGGTTGCACAACAGTTTTTTTCTTTTTTAAGGTTGCACAAGAGTTGTAATTGCATATCTAAACTTAATCCATAAAGATTTGTCAATAAAAAAGACGAACCCCTATTAATCCCTTGGCAATGATTGTAGCATTTGTTAGGACTCCAGTGATAGACTCTCCTTTACATTCAAGTGAACAAAAATTTGAGTGGCAGATGGGATCAATTGGGGATGAAAGGATAGAGGGGTGAGAGATTAAATTTGCAGATCAATCGATCAATCAAAGCCTTAATCCCATAAGTGGGGTCGGCTAGAGATTAAATTTGCATAGTACAGAAAAATATAGGTGAATAACAGATAAAAGTAACACTTAGTGATGTGATATACATATATCGTTTTTGATGAAATTTTACATTTACTTATATGATTACACAATATATCAATACAAGTATAATGCACAAATTTAATTTAGCAAAAACTATTTACAAATGAGTACAAAACATTGCTGTTGATGACTGGACACGGAGAGACAGTCCAGGAAAGAGTTAAGACTGAGATACTACATCTTCGGCTCACTGTTCTACTCAGTGCTTACTGTTCTACTCAGCAACATCTTCGGCTCGTTGCAGGAACTCTAAAAGACTTGAAGCCTTTCTCTTGGCCCTATCAGTGCCATTCTCTGAAAGTTCTTTTAATACTTGTTCAGCCTGCAGCTCCTTTGCTAGTTGCAAATGGTATAAATCACCCATGCAAAGTGACCAAAGTATTGCAGCAGCATTCTCTCTGTTACGGGGAGATCCAGTTCTTATTAACTCAACTAAGAGAGGAATTGGCTCAGTATGCCCAATTGTGGATTTCCCCTCTGGATGGTTTGCAAGTATTGCTAGTATTGCTAAAGACTCATCAACCATACCACCATCAACTTCCTTCAGAAATTTTATTAGAGGGTCTACAATCCCTGCCCTCACAGCCCGCACCTTGTTGCCTTGGTAAATTGAAAGGTTAAAAATTGCAGTTGCAGCATCTTTCTTTCCCCTAGGGGTACCCTGAATGAGTAAATCGATTAGAGCTGGTATTGCCCCTGCTGCTCCTATTGCTACCTTGTTCTCATCCACAACTGATAAGCTGAATAATGTAGCAGCAGCATTTTCTCTTGCTTCCATGCTACTGTTCTTCAGGACTTCTACTATATCTTGTATTGCCCCAGCATTTACAATAATGCCTTTGTTCATGTCATTAATGGAAAGATTAAGAAGTGCTGTCACAGCATGTTCCTGAGTTCGAGAATCAGGAGAAGATAGCAGTTCCACTAGTAGTGGTATGGCTCCTGCCTCTGCTATACATACCCTGTTATCTGCGTTTCTCTTGCCTAGCAGCCGGAGCTCCCCAGCAGTAGCCCGTTTCTCTTCTATGTTTCCATGGGCTAACTTCTTTAGCAAGGCAGCAATAGCTGCTTTGTCACAGTTGGAAGCAGAGTTTCTAGTTCTCCTATTTCTACAAGCTCCTTGTGTCCTTGGTAACTCCACGCCATTATTCTCGCACCACAAAGTAATCAGGCTCTTCAAAACATAATTTGGTGTCAATGCTGTATGCAACAGAGTCTGTTGTGTCTTGGGACATGTCTTGTGACCAGCATCAAGCCATTTTTGAATGCACGATCTCTCATACGTCTGCACAAAAGATTCGAAAAGATCATTAACAGATATCAGAGTTTTTTGGCCCTGGATTGTAGTATCAAGATGCTGCTTGTTCACAAGAAACATTAAGGAGATTACATCGTCTACAATAATTAAAATCTGCACATGGACCCATTGACGAGTTTTCTAAATCAATTAACAAAAACGCAAACTCAGAAGAGAATGTTGGTAATATACTGAAACAAAACGCCTAACCTGGCCTGTAGATACAATAACAGGATCTTTCATTAGCTCAAGTGAGATAGGGCAGCGGAAGTCATCCGGTATAATAGGAGATCTATGCTTTATCATGTTTTTATCAACATCACACATGTCAACTTCTGGGCTCACAGTTAGTAGATAGTCATCAAGCTTCTTAAATAGGGATGACATCATCTCAAATGAATCACCAAGATCACTACTGCTTGTGATGACCATTTCATGAAAGGCACGTGATTCTTTCCTCAGATCATCCATCGTCAAAAGGTGCAAGTTTTGCGATAATCTCTGGAGAACTGCTGCATCAGGCTCTGCTTCGTCCTGCACTTCTGTTATGTCCATCTCTATTTGCAGATCAGAGGATTCTGTTCTAGCTTTTGCTCGTAGAAATTGAGCATGAACAAGTCCAATCTAATGAACAAGAAATCAAAGACTGCCACTTGTAAGCATCTTATTTTTGTATGTGTGTGATGCTCTGTATATTGAGAATGCATAAAATTTTACGGATTTTTCACCATATACCATTGAGTTTAACGTTAATTCACCATATACCACCCAAAATTTTCTTATTCACCATATAACCTTCAGTTTTATGAAACTAACTTCTGTTAACTCAGTTAGTGATTAACGTTAATTATGCCACGTGGCAGCTTGTAATAGGTGATTATTAATATTGTTTATTTAATTAAATAATTATTCTAAAATTTAAAAAACCCTCAGCCAACCACCACACCGCAACCTAGCCGCCCACAATGCCCCCAACCCCCAGCCACCCTACACCGGCACTTCCTCCCTAAACCCCGCGGCGGCGCACTCTAACCCTGAACCTCCCGTTGTCGGCGTCTTCCTCTTCCCGTAAACCATCATCTTCTCAATCTAAAACCTCATCCCTTCCTCGAAAAGCCTCCTTCCCAACCCGTCAGTCGTCCAAGCCCCCTTGCAAAAGTCGGCAAACCTAATCCGCCCCTCCCTCTGTCATCTCCATCTTCCTGCTCCCCTGAATCACCACTTCGAAACCCTTAAACCAAAATCTAGGGTTTTGATTATGGGGTTTTAGGGTGGTTGTTTTCAAGTAAACTGGGCGGCGATGACGTGAGGGAGGGGAATTAGGTTCGCCGACGCGAGGGAAAGGTGTTTGGGTGTGGCCGGTGGTTAGGGGAGGGTTTTTCGAGGGAGATATGGGGTTTTTAGTGTTCTGGAACGGTGGTTCAAGGGAAGGGGGAGAGCGCCGACGAGGGTTCTGGCCGGATTCCATGTCGGTACAGGGGTTCTGGTGGGTTTTCGCGTCGGCGGCGAGATTTTGGTCAGATTACTTGACGGCAGGGGTCGTCGGGACAAGGTGGTGGCTAAGGGTGGCTGGCTAAGGGACAAGGTGGTAGCTAAGGGTGGCAAGGTCGAGATTTTCACCGGCGAGAGGGGGGGATGGTCGCCGCCGGCCAGGAAGTGGACCAGGCGGCCAACCGGAGATAGGGTCGGGGCTAGGCTGTGGGCGGCGGTGGCTAAGGGTGGCTAGATTTTTTTTTTGTATAATTTTTTGTTAATTAATTATATAATTATTTTAAAATTAAGTAATTTAAAAGGGAACCAATTATATGTTGCCACGTGGCCTTATTAGCCTTAATGACTAACGGTGTTAACGTCCGTTAGTCATTAACGGCATGTTGTGACATTTTAGTTAAACTGAATGGTATATGGTGTATTAGAAAGTTTTCTATGGTATATAGTGAATTAAGCTTTAACTCAGTGGCATATGGTGAAATTTTCGTAAAATTTAATCATATCACAAGTGCATTCAGAATTTCAGATTAATAGTATTACCTGTTCTTGAACTTCTTCTGACAAACCAAGTCTATTATAAGAAATCTTACTCAGAGCTTCTTCAATTTTTCCTGTTATATGAAGAAATTCAGTTGAAATTTTGTCTCTTTGCACAGCCTGTCACAAGTAACAAGTTGATATGTTATGCTCCATCTACATTAAAAGTCATACTGCTCCATACAATGATGAAAGAACTTGCATAGAGCATGTTACAATATACAGTGAGCTTGAAATATTAAATGAAATAGTTGACATGTGCACAACATGAGCTAGAAACAACTACACATGCTCCTAATCATCTTATTACAACAGTGACGTTTTTCATCAGCCCTGCACTATATTTGGGCCCGTTTTACTTCACTTGGGAACCTTTTGAGTTCTGCAACAACTATCTTACTATCCATTTTAGTCTGCTTCAAAAATGCGTGACACATTTATTTCTATTAAAGCAACTTCACTAAATTTCTTTACAAATTATCCTTATTGATCTGAGGAGCATGAAGGAACATTGACATTCACCGGTGTTGAAGCTTAAAGGTTTTGATGATGATGAACTTAAACAAAGCAAACTTCTAACTTATAAGAGTTCTCTAAGTGTTGTGACTAGAACATGTGAAGTTGACTTCGGAAGTGGAAGAGTAGCCTAGCTATGAAGACTCATAAGAGAACTCAAGGAAAGTTGAGGAAGATAGAAGAAGAGTTCCTTCACAGGAACTATCTGAGTTCTCTAACAGGAATTTGAAGACAGCAAGTTAAAGAGTTGACTTGGTCTGCGTTGAAGACAGCAAGTTCTGGAAGAACTTGGCCTGCGATGTTCCAATTCAGAACTGAAGAGCAAGTGACAGCAGGAACTTTGTCCTGGAGTGCGTGAAGCCCAAGTATCCTACATAAACAGAGTATTGGTGCAGCAATTAAGTTTTATTAAATTCTTATCTTTTAGAATTGTTATAATTATGTTAAGTAGGTTTACGCATGAGACTTATTAAAAACGTGACAAAAGCTTGGCAACCTTCTTAAATTGGAAAGTTTTAAAAGATAAGTTTTTAGGAAAAGATTTTCTAAAAAGATTTATTTTTTGAAAGCTGATTATAAAAAGATATTATTCTTTTTGATAATTTATCTTATCAAAGTTTTTTTAAAAAGATTTTCGTCTAAATAGATTTACTTAAAATTGTGTTTTAGGATTTTGGAAAATTAACATGTTTATCTTTTGAAAATCCTACTTTCTATACAAGCAAGTCTTGTATAAATTGTAGAAATCCGAATTCATTATTTTCTGTGATTTTATGCGTGGAGAAATCGAAGCGTGCTTAATTGTGTAAGTTTGCCAAGTTCATAACTTTGTCATATTAGTTTCGGGTTTTATTGCGTAGCTTGCCTTTCATATGTTAGAGTCAATATTTTGTAATTGGTTGGGTTCTTAGGTGCTTGGGTGCGTGTGTGTATTCATCTTTGCATACAGTATTGTTGGCTTCTAGATTGAAGCCGTGTGAGTAGTGCTCCGGGAGTACGAGTGAATCTAATTCAGGGACTTAGGTTGGGTAGGATAGGGTCCTACTGTGTAGCAAGTTTAGTCTAGAACTTGTGAGTAAAGGTCTGATTATAATAGGTTTGTAACTTGTGAGTTTGGTCTATTATAGTGAATTAGTTTGATTTGGAAATCCCTTAGAAAGATCGAGGTTTTACTTCCAATTGGTCTCTAGAAGATTTGGAAGTCCCGCCTCTTGTAGTGTTCGTGAAGGTTCTCACGCCTTACTCACGTGTAAGCAGATAACTTTGCTGAGTAAGTTCCTGAGGAGAGATGAATTACAAAGAGAAACTTGAAGAAGGGTATTCTACCCAACGTCCACCCATGTTCAATGGTAAGTGTAATAGACTTTGGGGATATTATATTATTAGGTTTTATAGTCCCTAGCTTTAGTATAAAAAGAGGGAAGGTAGAAAGTGGAATTGGAGCTTTGTAGGCTAAACCTACTACTATCGTTTGTAAGAAACCATTAATTTGTTCAATCAAATTTATGAGTTTTCTCCTTCGTTGTACTGTTATTATATCGCGTAATTTCAGTCCATTACACTTTGTATCAGAGCAGTGTTCCTGGTTGTCCGGTGCCGGAAACCACCACTACGATTTTAAGTAAATCTATTTACAAGAAAATCTGGAGAGAAGACTGGAAAAGAGTCTTAGGGAACAGAAGGTGGAGTTCCAGAAGAACTTGGAAAACTAGAAGCCAGTATTGAGCATCAAAAGGAAGACAACAAGAAGATACTAGAGTTTCTTAAGAGTTGATTAGTTTATATCTCTCTAGCCTATCATTAACCTAGCCTATCTTTAGCCTAGCCTAGCCTTAATCCTTTTCTTTGTTGTCTTAGTCATGAACTTATTCAGTTTTATGTTTTTAAATTTGATAAAAATTTTGGCTTTGTAATCGGATAAGCAGGATTATCTTTTTGGTTTTTATGAATATTTGGAACTTTGCCTATACATGTGTATTTTGTATATTATGAAAACATGTGCAGGAAAGTGGAACTAACTAAAGGGGGTTTAGTAGCGCTGCCTTCAGTTTCCCATACTCTATGAATTGCTTGTGGGGCTGTGGCTAGATGCTTAATAAAGTTGAAATGCAAGACTTTTTGATAATGCCAAAAGGGGGAAAAGAAGAAGCAAACTTGAAGGCTGAATGGGTGACTGGTCCAGTTGATAAAGTACTCCCTCCGTCCCAAATTACTCGCAACGTTTTGACTTTTTGCACTATTCACACATCTCACTTTGACCATCTTTTTTAGTTATTATGTGAAAGACAATGTAATTATGTAAGATGTTATTGGCTCTATTTTAATGTATAGTTTCTTAATATAAACATTTTATAGCTTTTATAATAAAAGGTATGGACGGTCTAACATGTGTATCGGCAAGCGTGTCCAGTTAAAATGTTGCAAGTAAACTGGAGAGAGGGATAAAGTACTTCCTCCGTCCCAAATTACTCGCAACGTATTGACTTTTTGCACTATTCACACATCTCACTTTGACCATCTTGTTTAGTTATTATATGAAAGCCAATGTAATCATGTAAGATGTTATTGGATCTATTTTAATGTATAGTTTCTTAATATAAACATTTTATAGCTTTTATAAATATAATAAAAGGTATAGACGGTCAAACATGTGTATCGGCAAGCGTGTCCAGTCAAAATGTTGCAAGTAAGCTTGTTAGAGGGAGTATTAGAAGTTTCTCCGATGATGTTGTGTTAATTTAGCTTAAAAGTTTTTGTTCTGTTAATTTGCTTTGAAGTTTTATGTTTGTTTAGTTTTATGTCAATAAATCAAAAATGCAAAAAATACGACCTTCTATAAGATTTAACTTTCCTTAGAAGTTTGCTAAAGTTTGTCATCATCAAAAAGGGGGAAATTGTTAAATCTTAAAGGTTTTGATGATGATGAACACAAAGCAAACTTCTAACTAATAAGAGTTCTCTAAGTGTTGTGACTAGAACATGTGAAGTTAACTTCAGAAGTGCAAGAGTAGCCTAGCTATGAAGACTCATAAGAGAACTCAAGGAAAGTTGAGGAAGATAGAAAAAGAGTTCCCTAACATGAACTATCTGAGTTCTCTAACGGGAAGACAGCAAGGTAAAGAGTTGACTTAATCTGCGTTGCAAAATGCCAATTAAGAACTGGAGAGCAAGTGACAGCAGGAACTTAGTCCTAGACTAAGTGAAACTCAAGTATCCTATATAAACAGAGTATTGGCGCAGCAATTAAGTTTTATTAAGTTCCTATCTTTTAGAATTGTTGTAATTATGTTAAGTAGGTTTACGCATGAGACTTATTAGAATCGTGACAAAAGCTTGGCAAGCTTCTTAAATTGGAAAGTTTTAAAAGATAAGTTTTTAAGAAAAGATTTTCTAAAAAGATTTATTTCTTGAAAACTGATTATCAAAAAGATATTATTCTTTTTTATAATTTATCTTTAATAAGTTTTCTAAAAAGATTTTCTTCTAAATAGTTTTACTTAAAACCGTGTTATTTAATAAAATTAACATGTTTATCTTTTGAAAACTCTACTTTTTATACAAGCAAGTCTTGTATAAATTGTAGAAATCCGAATTCATTATTTTCTGTGAGTTTCTGTGAGTTTCTGTGTGAAGAAATCGAAGCGTGCTTAAGTTTGCCAAGTTCATAACTTTGTCATATTAGTTTCGGGTTTTCTTGCGTAGCTTGCCTTTCATATATTAGAGTCAATATTTTGTAATTGGTTGGGTTTTAGGGTGCTTGGGTGCATGTGTGTATTCATCTTTACATACAGTATTGTTGGCTTCTAGATTGAAGCTATGTGAGTAGTGCTCAAGGAGTACGAGTGAATCTAAGCCACAGACTTAGGCTGGGTAAGATAGGGTCCTACTGTGTAGCAAGTTCAGTTTGGAACTTGTGAATAAATGTCTAATTACAATAGGTTTGTAACTTGTGAGTTTGCCCTATTATAGTGAATTGGTTTGATTTGGAAATCCCTTAGAGGGGTCGAGCTTTACCTTCAGTTAGGCCTTGGAAGGTTTTCTCGTAAAATATTGTGTGCATTGCAAATTCCTGTACATTCTGTTTTACATTCCGCAAAAGTATTCACTAGGAACTCACATACAATTCAACCCCCCCCCCCCTCTTGTAGCGTTCGTCTCAACTAACAACCAAGATCAATAAACTCTCCAAAACCATAGCAACAAAGCTACTTATCTTACACACTAACTCCAACTACGATTGGGCCCCAATGAACAAGATATGACACAACAAAGTTATGGCCATAAGGGTATAGAACAAAGGAATTTGGCTTCGGAAAGTGCTAAGTGCTATCAATCGACAAGGAAAAGATCAACGAATTAGGCAATAGTGTATTAGTATGCATGGATATAAAAGATTGTACAGAAATGAGTTGACAACTTGACATCAAACCAAGGTACCATATTGGGATCCTGGCTCTATTTTTCTGATAGTTTTTACATATTGATAGAATCAAGTATATTAATGTTACCTCAAACTTCTCTCTTCCTCCATTCTTCATCCCCAATATCATTTTAGCTGTTTCAAAGGACTATGCCTTAGCGCCAATGCAAAATTATTCTGCGTTTGAGCAAGAGTAGTTAACAAGGTTACTAGTAGGAAAAAGGTATACTTTTCCCTTTGCAGGAGGATTACTCTTAATCAATCTTGTATATCAAGCATACCCCTTATAATAACTTTGTTCAAGATCCCAGTGCCAACTGCACATAAATCGAGAAGCTGATGCGAGATTTTAGCTCACAAGTGACTATTGAACACTGCTGAGATTACTATTTAGCATTAATCTCAGTTCCTCCTACCTCAAGGTAGGGGGGAAGCATATAGTACAAGAAGGCAGCAGTTAACCAAGTAAGGAAATTGTATCCAGAACAGGAAAGGTGAGGAAGGAGGCTTGAGGTATTTAGTATGATTTGTTCGGGTATGAAGAAGCAAGTGTTACTCAAAGTGCAAGCTTTTTACAAACAAGGAGTAAAAGAACACTATCGTTCCAGCTGCTTAGCCTGGATCAATTGATAGGCAGCTTGACCAATCAAGCCGAAATACAATACTTCACCTAAACACCTAATCCAACCAAGCACTCTTTCAGGCGAAATTCTCCGGTTTTATACCCCAAATATTGTACCCACATTCTCCTTTCCTGAATCAGCTGGTACTGAACTACTCCTTAGATTTCAACCTCTATAAGCGGGTCGATTCCTTTCGGTGAGCTCATTCCCAACATATTCAGTTCATCCTAGCTTAGTACAATATAATTGTGCTTCATTCTTAGATCGAGATTTGCTTTGTGTTACTTTCATAATCCACATTTCTCCTTTATTCACATACAAAATCAAGCGCAACAAATTTTCCATAGAATTCAGAATTACTTTACTAACATGGATCAAAATATGCAAACATAATTGATTAAATGAAGATATCATCAATAATCAAGCAAATCTGTACTTCTTAAACCACCTTAAAAATGCACTATTTCTAATTGAATTGCATTGAAATCCAAATCAAAACGAAACCCTCAATAGAAAACCATAACCCCACATCATTAAATAAAAAATTAACAAAAACCAAACAAAATGACACAGAAATTTAAAGATACCTGATAAAGTTTACTGGATTCCTGAACCCATTTGAGCAAATCTTTGGCAGATTTCAGCACGATTAAAAGTGATTCAAAGGATTTGACTTGGTCAACAGGAAGCAACTCAATTTCATCATCTTCTCTATCAACTAACTCCTCAAAAAGTGGGCTCAATAGCTTAACTCTACGCACCAAATTTGAGTATAATCTCTTGGAAGTGTTTTTGCATTCAGGAAATGAAGAAATCTCTTTGATAATTTGGATGAGTTGTGTTATTATTGTGTTAATATCGTTTGGTGAATTGTGATTTGGACCCATTTTTCGGGGAAGCCTAAGAAAATGGAGCTGGTATGGGTTTTGAAGAAGAAAGGAAGAACGATGGTTGATAAAAACATGATGTTTCATTCCGTTGAAATTTTCAGTTATAAAAATTTATAGCAATCCTCTCTCTCTTTACTTTGTCGGTCCTTCACATCATCTATACCACGATATAATATACTTTCTTTAAAAATCATCCCACCTTTACCACCACACTTTCTCTATCCTAGTTCGTAAAGTTAATTAAATATATTTCAAAAAAAAAGTTAATTAAATAAAATAAGTAATTTATGTATTAAAAAGTGAATTCGAAATAATATATAAAAACTATATCAATATGGGTGTCTATGTGTAGCTCTTGAAAATTATGAACAATGATAATTTTTTTATAATTTTTTACTTTATAATTTTTTCTTAAAATGCAATTGAATATATATATATGATAACCAGGCCACATGGCGTGGCCTGGTTGGTTCATGTTTCACGGGAACCAAAGCAATTGTTTACCATGGGATGGTATATCTGTATATACCATCAAATGGTATAGTTTTATACCACCAATGTAGTAAAAAATTGCATGTTTTTGATGAGTTTTTACACCGTGGTATAAAATTATACCACAAGTGTTGATGCTCTAAGAGAAATAGAGAAAAAGTCAAATGAACCCGTGTCTTTTTTTTTTAAGAGCAACCCAACATAATTTAACTTGATATACTCCTTTCGAGTTTTAATAAGGGTCTATTGTGATTGACTGAACTGAACTTATGGGAGTTTAACTAAACTAAACTGAATATTTTATGAGAGAAGGAAATTAAGATAAGAACTAAACTAAACTGAATTTATTGGAGCTGAAATGAACTGAACTAAACTAAAATTAAGATGAAGAGAACAGACCCTAAGTGTTACACTTTGACCGGCACATAGTTTTAGGCAATTTAATTGACTTAAATAAAAGGAAAAATTACCACCATTAATCCCAACTTTGCTCCATCCGCCGATATTAATCCCAACTTCAAATTTTTCCCTATCACTCCCAACTTTGCACCCTATTAATTTTTCTCCACCCAACTAACCTGAAATCGATTGAAGAACTAAACCTGATGGGGATTACTTATACACGTGTCGCAACCTGATTGGTTAAAAACTTAAAAAAATTAAAAATGAAAAAAAAAACATAAAAAAACCACCCAATAACCACCCACAGCCAGCCATCCCCCTTCCCCCGGAGCATCATCCACCAAAGCAGCAGCCCCATGCCCCTATCCATCTCTCTTCTCTCGCACACCATAGCCGGGGAAAGAAAAGGGGGCAGAATTCAACAGGGAAAGGGGGCGGATCAGAATTCAACGAAGAAAGGTGGTTGAAATTGGGGAAGGTGGCTGGTCGAAATTCGACGGGGAAAGGAAAGGGTGGAGAAATCCGGTGGGAAAGGGGATGAAAACGGATGGGAAAACGGTAGGGAAGGCAGCAAAAATGGTAAGGGAACTGAGGAAGGGAGAAGGTTGGTGGTCGCAGTTAGCAGCGACTGTCGCCTGGACGAAGCAGCAGCGTCCACAGCAACCGCCACCACTAGAGGCAGCTACAGGAGCGGTTTAGTGCCGGAGATGGACAAGGGTGGGGGAGGGGGGAAAGTAAGGTGGCCGAAGGAGGCAGGGGCTGCCACCTGCCGAGTAGGGGTTAGGGTTTTAATTTTTGGTTTTTTTTTTTAAAATTTATTTAAGTTATTCATACGCTGACTCGTGTCTTGTTACCTGTAATATTAGGTTGGATGACCGGTTGGGGTGATAAAAATTAACATGGTACAAATTTGGGAGTGATAGGGAATAAACTGAAGTTGAAATTAATATTGGCGGATGAGGCAAAGTTGGGATTAATTGTAGCAATTTTTCCTAAATGAAATAAGAGGTTAGTGGGGTACTTGGAGTATTAAAAAATTGTAAAAGAAAGATAGTGGGGTTAGTAATTTATTGTAAAGTAATGAATGTGAGAGGAAAGAAGGAATTAAAAAATTATTAGTGGGTTTGGGTGTGGGAACCATGAAGAGAAAGATATAATATTAAAATGAATGTTTTTGGCAAAACAGAAAGTGCAACATTTATTACAACACGACCGACTTTAGTAAGTGTAACACTTATAAAAACATGGAGGAAGTATTTTTTTTTGTCTTTACCCGGTTGGGCTAATTCGGATTCGGGGATTAGTTCAGGAGGGTAAGATTTCAGTCCCTTGTAGAAACCAACTTTTAGCCTCCTGTCCCGACAAGAAGTGCGATACTATTGCAAAAACCTGTAGTTCATGCTAGATCAAAGTTGTAGTGTTTATGGATTGCGAAATACATTATAAAGTAAGTTAAAACCCGTATTTGAGACCAAGTCATCTTAGAGCCTTGTATGATTCCTTATTTGTTCTAAAACGTGCTCATACATGTTCAAACTTAATTAATATGCGTCATATGCAATGATTGGATCCAATGGATCTTACATTGATGAAACCAAGCCAACCACAAAATTTACCATCAAATATCCGTTCAAGGACTTCATAAATAGATAGCCATTTCAAAGAGCTTTCTAACGGTATATTATAAGCTCAATTATGAGTTAAAACGAAGAATTTATCATCATAATACTAAATCAAACACTAAAACCCACACTCTTGCACTCAAAAGGCCATATCTTTTGATCCATAATAGATTTTAACTTAATTCTAATGGCACTGTGTAGAAACCCAAATGTGTCTCCCCAAAACCAAACCTAGTGATGAATATCCTTTCACGTCATTTAATTATCGAACAAAGTGAAAGTGCGAAATTTCTAGTGATGCGGTTGTTTTTATTAAAATATCGCTCTTTCTGTTTTTGAAAACATTTATTATCTTAATCTATTTATGAAAATAGCCAGTCCAATTTAGTTTGGTCCTTGATAAGGGTCCAATAATAGTTTAGTTGGGTTGGACTCGAAAAGAGATTTTCAACGATATATTATAAGCCCATTTTCGATGAATAATAAGATAGTTGTGGCCAAAATACTAAATTGGGTCCGAAATGAATTTTATATGCGGCCCAATGATCTAGAAGAGGGCCTATCAATTATTATTCCTGAAGTTATTATGATTGATTTTAGTCTTGTAGAATAATCTACAAGTTCTTTTAAATTCTAAAAAATATTAGGATTGATAATTATATTTTTAAAGAGTTTTATTTGGAATAAAATAAGTGTTTTATGATAAACCCGGTTTAAATTGATAAACGCAAAATTTATTGCTTAATCATATTAAGAAGAGGATTCCGCGTAAAAAAGCGCGTTTTATTCCTAACTCAGCGCAAGGCGACAAGCCTGTCGTCTGGCGCTGGTTGCTGTCGTTCACAACAGGAGGTCTTTTATTCCTAATGGAACTCAATTTCTTTTCTTTCGATTTCCGGACTATTTTTCTATAAATAGGTCCTAGACCCCCGTTTTTATTCATTCACAATCATCAACAATCTCTAATTCTCTTTCTCTAAAGCTAGAAGCTTACTCTTACTCTCTCTATTCTTTTTCTAAACCTTTCCTTAAACAAAATTCCGTATACATTAGTTCTATACACACCTAGCAAAGTTTGAAGTTGCCTTCGCCCTAGACGTGAAAGGTTGATAATTTCTGAGGGTTTGGTCTTAAATCTCTATCTCAATTATTAATTTAATTGTTTGATTTAATATTTTCCTTGAAGTTACCAACGCGTGTATTTTGTTATTAGAAAGAGATACGAAGCATCCAAGTAAGTAATTTAATTATTATTATTTTGTCATAGAAAGCATGCTTTGATTATTTTGATTCCTAGTATCATGTTAGGGTGTCTTTATGATTCCTAGTATCATGTTTAGGTAATAACTAAAATTTCTAATATAATGTATGTTTCTATGATGCTTCCTATTCTTCTCTTATATCATGTTAGTATCATGCTAGGGATAAATCTTTGATCTTTATTGTTTAGTGACATGTTAGGATTTGTTATTAATCTTGTTAGTATCATGCCTAGGGTCTTGCTAATATTATTATGCTTTATTAAGATTCAGAATATTATGATGATGATGATTGTTGTTGTTATGTTTCTTGATATATTGTTATTGATTGATCACGCCTTTTATTCATGTATAAAGGGAATTTGTACTTGTACTCACGCTTAATTAGATAATTAATAATCATTTTTAGGCTAATATGATTATAATTCAAGTGATCACCAATAATAGGTTTGCTTGTTCATTAATATTCAACCAACATAGATAAACAGGTTTAGGGTTATCCTAATGATTGCATGTTAGTCAGCAAGCGCACATGAATATGAGAAGAATAAAGTAGAGGCCTATTTTTAGGGCAGGTTCAATATCTTTTAGGTTGGATTTGTACTTTCATCCCCGAATATCTAGTCACGGTTCTAGACCACTATGGAGTTAGCGATCTCATAGATCGTGAAAGGGGTGTAACCTTCTCCTTGTGAACGGTTTACAAGTTCCTAAAACTTGTTGGCGACTCTTTTATTCTAGCTTCCTTCCATTTGGTCGCCAATATACTTAAGTGTATGATCAAAGTGGGGCTCAAGTTTGGGATGTTTGAAATATTCCCTACAGTTTTTTTGGTGACTCCGCTTGTGAGGATTTCTATTTTAATTCATGAAATTTATTTTGGCAATAATTTAGAATGAGTGGATGAGACTTGAAAGTTCTAAGTATTTAATGTGCATAATTTTGATTAAAATTATTGACATAAGCATAAAAAAGGTCCGCATTGGAAAGACCATCCGTAATGCGTCAAAAACATAGGATTTTTACACGTAGGAAATTAGGAAAATATATTTCACAACTAGAATTGAAATAACGCTGCGAAAAAATTGGAAAATTCAAGAACAGAAAGCTGCTGAGACATGTAGGAACTGGCGCTGAGAAAACATTGTCATCGCCAATGCGATCGCTCTGTCGCCTGGCGACAGTAAGTTTCATCTCGCGACAGAGTCATAGTCTGGAGACGAGCACTTTAGTCTCGCGCCGAGTTCTTCCAATACCGAGCCAGAAATCTACCTTCTTGTTTCGACCAGTTCTAGTACAACTTGCTCAATTTTACTTCCTAATTGAG